AAAATAAACATCTACTGAATACCTAATATGTGCCCAACATTGTGTTAAATATGTGATTTGTATGTATCCTTACCATGTGGCAAATGTCGTCATTTTAATGACGAGGTAAAAAGCTCAGACCAACTGAGTCATTACCAAAGGTTACATGGCTAACAAATGTCAGTGCTGGGATACAGACACAATGTATTTCCCAAGTCCATATTTACTTCACTCTACTTTATTGCAGCACTAAACTTGAGTGTTAGGATTAAATAAAACAAATGTCTGACTAAGATTCTAGGAGAAAAAGTTGTATTTGTTGTATTAGAAATAAACATCAACGTGCAATCTCTGATAAGGTGTTTGTAAAGGCTGAGTTTGAGTCTAGTGATTATATCCAGCGAGAAAGGAAGAGGGGGAAAGGCACCTGGGAAAATCATAATGAAAAATAATAATATCTTATAAGAAAAATCCCAGGAGAGCCAACTATTGATGTTATTTCAACCATTTGCCATGATTCTAAAAGTCTATGTCATGTAGCACATGTATATTTGGGGGGAACTGGGACAAATTTAGGTCGTGTTCCTTGAAGCTGTTGTGTGGAATGAAGTCACTATTGGTGGACCTCCTGAATACCCAGCTCCTATATCTAACCCTCATTTTTGCACTCGTTGCTTTCATGGTAACTCTCATCATGTCTTAAGGAGATATTTTAAAATAATATAATTTGATCTTTATGTGTTTTATTGAAAGACATATAGGATAGTCATTGAAAGCAGATTCGATAATCAGTTCCCCTGAATTCAAATCCTATCTCCAATACTTAAAAGCTGTTAACTTGATAAATTATAAATTTAACGTCTTTGTTCCTCAGTTTCCTCATCTGTGTGATGAGGATAATCATAATTCAAAAATCATAGGGTCATGATAATGATCAAATTAGTTTGTGTAGAAAATGCTGCCTAGCACATAGCAAATGCTAAATGTGTTAACTATTATGTAACAAAATATATGTTATCATTGTTTTCATCTATTAAGCTTTTCACAATGTCATGGCATTTATATATAAATATCAAAGGAAAAGAGAATTAAAGGGAATATTCTGGTCTTGAAATGAGGGGTAATATGTTATCAAAGATTTAGGGACTACAAAAGATGTAATTAACCTTTTTGTTTTATTTTTAATTAGTAGCAGAAAATACCAATTATTTCAAAATTATTCTCAAGCCCTAAAAGACAAAGTCGGTCCATGAAACTATTTGATATTTTCTAATATTAAAGCAATTTTCCAGTTGGTTGAGTTGTTACTGAGCAGCTGTATCATCTTGTTATTACTTATGCTAATTAAGAGAAAGAAGGGAGGGGTGGATGCCAGAAATGGGGTGAGGACAGGGAAAGAAATGAGAATCAGGATTGGGGCAGTATCAAACATAACTCAAAGGTGTATGTTGCACAAATAACATTTCAACCGCTTTCACTTGCATTTATAAAGTTTTCGATGGCATGAACATCACTGGGCGATTGCAGCCCTTCCCATTATACCTTCTAACCTATAATTTAATGATTAATTGGCCAACTCTAGTCCAGAGTTTCATCTGCCCTCCTTCTGGGGGAAATATATTATTAAGGATTTCTGGCCTCTGGTCCCTTTAAAATATTTCCAAAGTCTACCCCCTCCTCTTCTGGGTATCTTTCTCTGTAGGATCCAGGCTCAATGATTTAAGACACAATTTGCTGACAGGAGATCCTGAGAACCCATTATGAAAATGAAGGCAGCAAACAACCTTTGAATGTATTTCCCGATTTTAAAAAGCCTTCATTACATAGCACATTTCAGGCTGAGGATGTTAAAAAATTTATCACAGTTTCAGTAATTGCAGCTTCCTCTGGAAGCCCGGCATGATAGGGAATCATTTGTAAAATGTGAATTTTGTTTGGCGTTCAGTAGGAAGCTTGCCAGGCAATACATTTAATTAGGAACACGGGGAAGGGAATAATTGCAGTCTGTCATAATGTATTATCATTACTTTTAAGTTCTCCACGTGTTTAGGACAGTGGTCTCATAACAAGGTGTGTATTTAAAGCTAGAAGTAATTTCCGTCTCCTTGGGCCACTGATTTTATATGGGGAGATGTATTATGTTGAGTGGGAAGGTACATTAGCCTCATTCCTTAGATATAACTCTTTGTCCATTGTTCAAACTCAGAGTGTTAGCTGCTGTCCTTAGAAACAGCCTTTGTCCATTGTGTTAAGGCCTCGGACACTGATGCATTGCCCTTTCGGGAGCTGAGACAGCTTTATTGAAGTTTAACTTTCTCTGGAGATGCATCGAAATAATGAAATGCAATGCCTTCTTGAGCATAACCATGTACATAACATCTAGCCCCGCCTGATACATAAATTTGATAAGAACAACTCAAATACTGTATTGATTAATGTTGATGTTTTTAAAAATGACAAAGCAACATGTGTCAGCAGACTCAAAAAGAAGTATGATGATGACCCTCTTCGGAGGCCAGGTTTCCCTTGTGCTAGACATGATGTTCCATTTTATAGGGAAACTTGCTTATAATGAATTTGAGAGGCACCGCAGAAAAAGTGCAATGAATGGGCCTACTTGGCACATGCGTTCTGGCATTCAGTTTTCAAGTAGAGGATACTCTGATCATTTATCTTTGCATGAATCCCTTCCGTTAGTCATAGTCTCCTTAGTGAATGAAGAATTTCCTCTAATAACAAGTCATTGGATTTAACATTAGGGCATCTACCCTCAGAACCAGTGCTAGGTGTAAATTAGACATGAACAAAGATTGTTTCATTCTCTTTCTCTTCTAATTATGCTACGTTTTAGCCTCTCAAAATCTTCCTTTTCTCACTCTGACCAGTTTACTACTCCTGCCCACCTCATCACTCTCCCTTCACCCATCAAAGCATCAAAACAACCCTATATGATAAAAGCCTAATATGCTAAGTTTCCAGTAGTTTAGTCATCTGTTCAACCAATCAAAGCATAATATGCTAATGATATGCTAAGGCTGCTCAACTGCTCACTATGACATGCACTGACCACCAGGGGGCAGATAGTCAACTGATCGACCAGTTGCTATGACATGCACTGACTACCAGGGGGCAGATGCTCTGACCGGTAGGTTAGCTTGCTGCTGAGGTCCAGCCAATCAGGACTGAGCGAGATGGGCTGGACATGCCCTGGAGCCTCCTGCGGTTCCTCCCCAGCCGGCCAACCTACCGTGTCCTCCCTGGCCCCGATCGTGTACCAGTGGGGTCCCTCAACCTGGCCTGCGCCCTCTCGCAATCCGAGATCCCTTTAGGAATGTTGGAGAGCTGCTTTCAGCCTTATTCTTCTCAACACAAGAGCTGCCACCTGGTGACCAGTGCACTCTCACAAGGGGAGCACTGCTCAGCCAGAAGCCAGGCTCACAGCTGGTGAGCTCAGCAGAGGTGGTGGAAGCCTCTCCTGCCTCTGTGGCAGCGCTATGGATATCTGACTGCCCTGGGGGGAGTGAACCTAAGCCGTCAGTTGGACATCCCCCGAGGGCTCCCCGACTGTGAGAAGGAGCAGGCCATGCTGAGGGACCCTCCCTGAGTGCACAAATTTCATGCACTGGGCCTCTACTTATGTTATAATATACAGATGGTATATTATAAAACTAGAGGCCCGATGCATGATAATTTGTGCAAGAGTAGGCCTTCCTTCTCCCAGCTGCCGGCACCGGCTTCCCTCTGGCACCAGGGACCCAGGCTGCTGGCACCGGCTTCCCTCTGGCACCCAGGACCTGGGCTGGTTTCCCTCTAGCCCTGGCTTCATCAGGAAGGATGTCCAGAATGACGTCCGGAAGACATCCAGACTAATTAGCATATTACCCTTTTATTATCTAGATTATACATTTGAAACCTATATAATTTAATTAACCATTGTCACCCCAATAAATTTAATAAAAATTTACAAAAGCAATTATGATAGCATTTCCTTCAGGGTCCCATTCTCTGAAAAATAAGGAATAGAACCCAAATAGTTAGAACAGCCAGTATTTGACACTCAGTAGAGGATTAGCAATTGGACATAAGGAAGTAAGGAGAGAGGAGTGGTTTTAGGTAGATGGACAGTTACATTAGTTCAGGCAATCATTCATTTGTTTCTGAGGAAAGAGAAATCAAAAAAATATCTCATTATCTCATCCCTCTACAAAAATGTAGGCAGTGCACTTCTTTCTTCTTAACCACCTTGTAAAAGCCCTAAATGGATACAATTTTGATTCAGTGGCATTAGCAATCAAGATTATTTTAAAGTAACAACCACAACCATAATAACTTGTACTATTAAATGCTTACTTTGTTTAAAGCAGTGTTCTGAGCACTTTGTAGAAATAAAAGCATGATTCTAATAGTAGATGCTTCTATTACCACCAAAGAAACTGAGGCACAAAGTGGGTATTTATCTTGATTTCCTTAGACAAATAGTAAGAAGTGATCTGATTTTGGTAAACAGTACAAGATAGTATGACTTCAGGTTCATACTCAATGGTTATTACTATGAATTAATTGTGGAGGAGAAATAATGTAATTAAAAACAAAATGCAATTAACCAAAATACTGTTAAAAAAAAGAATTAGAAAGAACAAGACTAAAAGTCTGATCAAAATTGCTGTTGGACATATATCAAATTTTAAATCTCACATTTCCTCCTAGAATTAGAAAAATGTGTTTGCCTTGAGGTATCTACATTTTCTAAGAGTATTTTTAGACTGAGGTTTATTATAAGAAATACCTGGGAATAAAGATTGAAAGTAATCCATCTCCTTGGCAGTCTTTCTTGCATCTTAATACAATAGGCCTTTATTTTGTCTTACTTAATACTGAAGTCTAACTGAGACCTATCTAAAACTGAAGTATATAAAGCTAATAGCCAGTACTTTGGGGTGCAAATCTGTGTGTTTATGGGATGCGTGTATGTGTATATTAGCATGAACCACTTCAACTAACATGTATTCTTTTACTTTAAGGGGCAAAGGACCACTAAAGCACACGACTGATGTGATCTATGCAGCTAAAATGATATCAGAATCAGGATCAAGGATGGATGTCCTTGCTCGACAGATTGCCAACCAGGTGAATTTTCTACAAATGCATGTGGTGAAAGTCTAGGAATTGTTTTCTGCCATTTCAATGTTAATTTTTAAAAGTTGAAATTTTACTCTATTGGATTATTTTTTATTACTGAATTATTTTTAAATTTTATTCAGTAATTAATACACAAGTAGTGGACAATTCATTCTAAGGAAGCTTAGTGCATTATTGTTATTACTTAGGACTTGATTATTTCTAAGATTTTGAGTGTCACATATTCAAATTATTTTAAATATCAAATATATTTTTTGAATTTCAAATATATTTCATTGGCTTTAATATCCAATGTTAATATTTTTCCTTAATACCTTATATTTCTTATTTTTGCTCTTCAAAAAGTAATACTTTTCAGAATTCTATTATGTGATACTTTCTGAGTCAACAATATATTCTGACACTCTATGTAAAATTGTAAGGTAAGTAGTAATTATTAGAGTACTAAAGTGAAGGTTAAAAATGTACAGGTATATAATGCTTATAGAGACTGATGATTTATATAGTTGGTATTTTTCTTTACGTTTCTCTCATCTGTATTTCCGTTTTCTAGGCAGCATCTACATTATTAGAGTTACCTTTTGCCTAACATGAAAGTTAGGAAAGTCAGTTTTTAGTTATGGTATAGGCATATTTAGTTGATATTTCAAACTGAGATGTAGTATTACTTTGCAGGTTTCATATTATTTCAAATTATTCAATATTTCATAATATGCATTATTCAACTTTATAGAGCATATTTATCTCCCTTTGGGGGGAAGGGGCACTATTATTTTTGACTTTGTAACTATTCCATATTATTTATAGCTTATATACTTTTATTGGGATGCTTATTATTATTTACTCTTTTTATCCTCTATTTCTTAAAACATGAAGAATTTTCTCTTATTAGATGTTGTATTTGTGGATATAAGGAGGAGAAATAAATAAGAAATAACAAATAGTTTTAAACATTCTTGAGTATGTGTGTATATATATATATATATATATACACACACACACACACACACACACACACACACATATTCAGTGTCTATCTACTTTAAGCATTATAAATATTCTCTTAATTTTTTAGTATTTAGTATTTATGGTTAAAAACAAACTCTATGCTAATATGTGACCAAATGACTGAATCCAAAATTTCTGGTTTTCTATATTATGTCCAATCCAAGTTGAAACTGAAAATGAATTGAAAACAATTCTTAAACTCAAGATAATTTTAGTCTGTGCACTAAAAAATGTCAGACCATAGTTTTCCAAATATAACTCTCACAAGTCAGCAGTCAGTGTAGACCATATGAGTCTGTTGTCCTTTATCTCTGACATAATAAAAGAGCTCCACTATATTTTTTTTCTTCACCTGAGGATATGTTTTTATTGATTTTAGGGACAAAGGGAGAGAAAGAGAGAAACATTGATTGTGGGAACTAAACCTACAACCTAAGTATGTGCCCTGACCTGGAATCAGTCTTCTGGTACATGGGACGATGCTCCAACCAACTGAGCCACCCAGCCAGAGCAAGTCCCACTGTTTGTTTTAGCTATACCTTCCATAGATACGCTTTTCTTCTGTGTTTTAGAAACCTCAGTTTGCTAAAGTGCAGCAAAGATAGACATAGCAAAGAAGGAAAATGTTCAAAGTATACTGAGATTTCTACATGTAAAATCATCTCAAATTGATGACTAACCAAATTTGACAGAGTGAGGAAAAGCCCTCTTTATTGAGATAGTAAATTGAATAGAAAAATAGTTTTATCATAGGCAAGATGGATTATGAGATAGTTGAGGGTTCTATGTGTTGGATGTGAAATGTTGATAAGACAATAAAATGAATAAATGCAATAGGTATATGGAACTTCTGAAGACAGAACTGGATGATTGATAATTATTATTATATTTTTTTATTTTGTAAGTGATAGATGAAGCCAGGACAGTGTATACTATTATCCAGGAAGAGGGTAAGAGTGAAATGATACCCAAGAACAAAAACTGAGAACACCAAAAGGGCAGCATTGAAAATTGTTAGAAGGCATGTTCCCGAATAACAAGAGAGGGAGATGGGGTTACAGGGTTGTAGAAGGGTTATTGTTTTCAGGGATTTTGTGTTGATAGATTCAAGGGTGAAAACATTAAAAGTGCAGAAATAAATGAGACAATTGATGCTATGTGACCCTGAGGAAGGTTCAGTTTTATCAGCTATGATATAGTGGTGCTGGTCCTATAGACAGCCTCTGGGCTGGAGCACTGGTAGGGAAATGAGTCCATCCTGGGGAAGGAAAGGTCCTGGACACACTGTTCTTGTTATCACTGGTTACTCAAAATTTCTATTCTAGCCATTCACAATGACACCTCATACTTGTTGTTAGCAAACTTTGCCAGTTTAGCAGAAATTAAACTGTTGTCTGTAATTGCAAAAGTCATTGTAAGTGTTTTTAAAATAAAGTTTATATTCCAATGTGGCAAAAAATAGCTAAGCTTTAGAATAAAGGTCTTTAAAGTATTCACTTTTCTAAGTCACTCTTAAAATTCAAACTGAAAGGTGATAAATGTGTTTTACTTTTCTTCTCACTCCTAAATGAAGTATTCTGCATTGGGACCAAGCATCTTGCTAGAAGAGTGAAAGCTGGTTTAGCATGAGAAAACCACTTAGGCTGGCATGCCATCTGCTTGCCTGTAGTGAGAGCCTTAGTAGTTATAAATTTAGAAAAAAATATATCCATGCATTAAAAAGCTAACCAGATGTCCTGGTCAACATCTCCTATCTTAATAAACTGGGAAATACCCAAACTGTTATGGTAGTCTACCACTGGATTTGTCTTGAAATCCTGAGCAGAGTTCCTTTAAAAGTTATTTTATGAAAATTTTATTTTTTTAAAAGTCAAGGCCAAGAATGTTTTACAAATATAAGGCTCAAACTTTTTTTTTATCACCATCATATAAAAATAAAAAATGAGGGGAAAGATTATTTGACTTTAATAAAGGAGGTTTGGCAAATAGGAACATTTTTAAAAATATTTTTTTAATTTTTCAATTATAGTTGACATATAATAGTATATTAGTTCTAGGTGTACATCATAATTACACATTTATATAACTTATATGAGGAGGTCACCCTGATAAGCCTAGTACCCACCTGACATCATACATAATTACAATATTATTGACTATATTCCCTGTGCTGTTTACATCCCCGTGACTGGCAATTTGCACATCGAATCCCTTCGCCTTTTTCACCCATGGCCCCAACTCCCCTCCCTTCTGACAACCATCAGTTTGTTCTCTATATCTATGAGTTTTACTTTTCACTTTTTTCTTTTTTTAGATTCCACATATAAGTGCAATCATATGGTATTTGTCTTTGCCTGACTTATTTCACTTAGCATAATACTCTGTAGGTTGATGTATATTGTTGCACATGGAGAGGTTTTGTTTTTTTTTATGGCTGAGTAATATCCCATTGTGTACATACCATCTCTTTTATATCCATTAGAGGAGCATTCTTCGAGTGGGAATGATTCATTCTCCTGATTCTGCTTTTAGGTGGTCAAAACCAATCAGAAAAGCTTTCCAAATGTCAATAGGAAGAAGGCTGTAATAAATTTTGCATTATAGAATTGACCAATTAGTATGCTTTTAGTCCTTCAGTTATAAATCTGACTAGCATTGTTAGGTGTAAGCAAGATTTTCATTAATTCTGGAAGTAAAGGGTAAAGCTAGCTCAGGCAACTTTTAATTTCAAAAGTTCAACTTCACATTTTCTGCTCATTTGAATCTTTCTTAACAGAATTCTAAACTCTTTGAGTATGGCTTTGAAAGAATCCCTTGAGAGAGATTGTATGTTTTTCTTGGTGGTGGCAACATTGGTAATTGGTTAAGGGTCTAATTATTAATTTGCAAGTTCAGTTTTATCATCTGTGATATAGTGGTGCTGGTCTTTAAGAAAAAATTCCTATAGATAAGAGTGTCCATTTAAGAATCAATTTACAAATCAGGGTGGCAATTTACTGTTTACTATCCTATATAATAAAAGAGTAATATGCAAATCAACCAAATGGAGGAACGACAGGTCAGCGGGGGGTGGAGCCAGCTGCTCGCAGCCAGTGCAGTCCCCTGATTGGCCCACCTGGTCACCTCCCGCAGGCAAGGACTCCCGGACTGTGAGAGGGCGCAGGCTGGGCTGAGTGCACGAATTTTCATACACCAGGCCTCTAGCATAAGATAAAACTGGTAAGAAGACTAATACTGTTTCTAGATTATAGAGGTAGGTAAGTATAGCCAGATGATGTCAGTTTTAATACCAGCTCTACCATTTATTAATTGGGCAATCAATTAATATATCTGTGCCTCAGTTTCCTTCTTTGCTAAGTGGGGATAATGAGAGACCGTACCTCACGTATTTGTGTGATTATTAAAAATAGTTAGTATAGGCAAAGTACCTGGAACAGTATATGGCAAATAAAACACTACATGTCAGAGATTATCATTGAGTTCATCCATAAGAACAAAAAATAGATAAGGCTGTTACTCAATGAGAACAAAGAAAATGGTGTTTTCAATGAATGTCATGTAGAAGAGATTTAATGCAGGGAATGAAACAGAATACAAAATTCAAATTATTTTAGATGATTTATATGCTCTGTCAAAACTTAGTTTGCAAGTGTGCAAAATGACAATAATTAAATCTGAGAATACACCATATTTTCAAGATCAATCCATGTTGTCGCAAATGGCAGTATTTAATATTTTTTTATGACTGAGTAGTATTCCATTGTAAATATGTACCACATCTTCTTTATCCAATCATGATAAGCAAAATAAGTTAGACAGAAAAAGTCAAGAACCATATGATTTCACTCAGATGTGGGATATAAAAAACTGAAAGCAACAAGAACAAATAAGGAAAACAAAGAAACAAAAATTCATAGACACAGACAACAGTATGCTGGTTACCAAAGGGAATAGGGCTGGGAGGAACTACAGAGTAAAGGGAGTCAAATATATGATGGCAGAAGAGGGTTTGAATTTTGGTGATGGGCACACAATGCAATATATAAGTGATGTATCATAGAATTGTACACTTGCAACCTATCCTCTTCTTCTTCCTCCTCCCCTTCATATCTCTCTCTTTTTTTGTCTCTGTCTCTCACTTTTTCTTGTCCCTTTCCTTAATTAGTTATAATTTAACCCTTTCTGTGAGATTTGGGGGATTACTCTTACTTCCTCATTTAAAATTTTAAAAACACGGTTAAAGTCAAGATCTCTCTCATCTTGTCTGATGGTGGCCCTGGCTGGTTAACATGTGTTAGATATGTCCATGCCTATCTAGCAAATTGATAGTATTTATGCAGAAGAGTTTATTTCTTTGCTACATTTGTTGATTAACTTTTATTCAAGGTTCCCATGTTTTCATCTTGTCCACACATTCCGGAGCTATGTAGAGTAGTCTATTCAGCAAATATAAAAGGGAGTCTCGGGTATTTTCCAGCAGCACTCCAGCTTATTGACTACTAGGTAAAAGCAGAAATTCCAGGAAGGCTTTCTGATCTTTTATCCTATCTTATATTTTACTAGAGGCTCGGTGAATGAAATTCATGCATGGGTAGGGTCCCTAGGCTTAGCCAGCGATCAGGGCCAATCTGTGGGGTGACTGGCGGGGTGATCACGGGGCCCCTGCTGCTGGCACCCACTTTGGCTGGCCTGGGACATGTGGGATGGGGGCAGCTCCTGCATGGAGCGTCTGCCCCCTGGTGGTCAGTGCACATCATAGCAACCAGTCATTCCACCAGTTGTTCTGCTGTTCAGTCAATTTGCATAGTAGGCTTTTATTGTATAGGATTTTGCATTTTAGTCTATTAGTAGTGTATATTTTAAACAAAATGCAACCATTTTGTTTTATACCATTTAATTAAACAACATATTATATTTTAAATACTGTTTTTTTTCACTTTCCCAAAACATTTTCCACATCCTTTGAAAATATTATTTTCTTGTAGACTATGTAATATCACATTATATGAAGAGCATTCGCCTTTAATCTTTCCACTCTTTTAGGACATTTAAGTTATTTTCAAATTTTGCTATTATAAGTAATGCTGCAATGAATATCTTTACATAAAATTACTCTCCATATTTCAGCATCCTTATGAAAATGCATTTGAATTAGAATTAAGTTATTGGGAATTTTAAAAACCTATTTTAATTACATAGAAGAAAGAACACAAAGATTAAACACAGACCATAGATATTTATGTTATGATGAAGCTCAAAGCTGTACTCCAGATAGTTCCTTACAGAAGTGAATATAACATAGGTAAAGAAATTTAGCACATCTATAAAACATGGATGCATGCCTTCTGTTTCTTAGCTCCAGGTAGATCCACAGCTGTTATCTAAGGTGGAATGAGTTCTTTTGCTTGTAATAGCTAAGAACATTAAATGCTGAAATTAAGAGAACATAATATATAGTTTGTTGCAGATGATTTTTTATGCTCATGTAAATACAAAGCAAAGACAATGCAGAATTATGAGTTCAGAAGAGTGTTCTAATTGCAACTCTAGGTTAAAGGAATAATTGCATTTATCTTGGATTTACCTAAAAATATAATCTGAACACTTCTAACCTTATCATAAATTAAATGCATTATTTTATGTACCTCTTCATGTTTGGATATTTCTGTAATCTTTCTTTTGTCTGTGCTGAAGTAATTAAGGTCAAAACATGAATAAACTCCTCTAATGGAGGAAGCATGGCCTTGGTCTGAGAATTGGAGCTCAATGAAAATAAAATTGCTTATAAGTCACCTGAAATGTCAATATTTCCTCACTTTGATCTAGTTATTATTAATTTTGCTATTTCCACTTTTATCTTTTATGCATATTTAGTGTCCAGATCCGTCATGCAAACAGGACTTGCTGGCTTACCTGGAACAGATTAAATTCTACTCTCACCAACTGAAAATCTGCAGCCAAGTTAAAGCTGAGATCCAGAGCCTGGGGGGAGAGCTCATCATGTCAGCTGTGAGTACTGCCCAGAACTAATATCATATTGTAGAAGATGCTTAAAACCTCCTTCTTCCACCAAATCTTACATGTCCATGTAGGTTAACAACTCAATTGGAGTGTAAAAAGTTGCATGTAAACTAGTGAGAAATCTTGCCAGATTTCTTAAAGATATGCTACATAGGTACAACTTGTTTTTATCTACTTCAGAGATACTAGAATGAATCAGGTTTTATAAGACACTTGGGTGAGAAATAATACTTAGAGCATGATTTTCAGACTTCAGAAAGAGTACAGACGGAACTCTGAATCGAACCCTATAATTTTCATAAAATGAAATCCATATGGCATTGCAAGTTAAAATAATTTTATGATTAATTTATATTTCCACCATAACATAGAAATGCAGGCTTTGAAAAATTTTATTTCCGTATATAATTTTAGAAGTGGAATATGATAGAACATTATAGATTTAGATGAACTTTCATGAATTCTTTGGTGACCCTGAGTTTCAGTCTGCTATAAAATGACCACGGTAGAAATAACATCGAACTTTTCTACTCATTTTTAATAACAGTATATCATTTCTTTGGAGTGGGTACGGTAATAAAATATTTTATATCAGTATTGGATTCAGTTACCAGTGACTTTGAGAAGGACATGGAACAAGATTATAAATTTAAGTTAAAGTGAAACATCGTGAGTGTTATGGGAACTTACATTCATGAAGACAAATTTTGTAAAAATGATAACAGTATACTTACAAATTTGAAATGTTTAGGACCTCAATAGCCTGACTTTGGACTCTCCCGCAGTGAGCTAACATTCCTAAAAGAACATAGTTACAAAAATGCAAGCAAAGAATTACCCTCAAGACGAGAGGGCAGGGAACTAAGGCTCATAGACTGTTTCTTGCCTGTCTTTTATCCCATTTTATCTTCACAATAGCATGCCTCCTAGATTGTTTATTGGCTTGTTTTGTTTACTCTAATACTTGAAGAAAAAAAGAAATTTAGAAAGGTTAAATAGCTTCTCAGCGGTCATACTAGTAAATGTCAGAACAATTTACCTTCAAAGACCTATGTCTTCTCTGTTCAGATGGGCAACTTTGAATCTATGAGGAAAGTGAGGAGCACAAATCAAAAGTGAATAATTTGGAAATTATGTGTAGTTATTACTAAAGGTAAAGAAACAGGTGTTTTTTTAACATTTATATTTTGCAAAAGAATTTATAAATCAACACAACCTATACAAGATTGGTATCCTTTCAGTTTTCAAAGGTAAGTATATTTTAAATTGTCACAATCTATACACACAGAAAATATGTGTATACGAATACATACATGTTTACAGGCATGCATAGATAGACACAGCATGTGTATTTTATTACATATATGCATTTAAAAAATTGTATTTTTATTCTGTATTAGACATTTAGTCTTCATTTTCTCAACATTATAATACTTTAGGTGTGTAAAAAGTATTTACACCAAAGTCTGCTGTTTACTTTTCGTATTTTCACACACTCACCATCATTCACATGGTATAGTCCAGGTAAATTTTATGATTTAATTTTATGCAAATTTTTCATGTTGCCTGAAGCTAAGCTTTCAAAAAACTTGATAGAAGTTCAGCCTATAGATTACTGCTGAAATATATTACTAGTAATTGTCCCTCCAAAATATAATTTCCATCAGGTATATGAATTGAGTTTGTATTCCTTCCTGTTTGATATGATGATTCAAATTCATGAACTTTACATATTTTACAGAAAGATTGGGCATGAGCCATTTAGAATTCATGATTTACAATTTAAAAGCTGAGTTGTTATATAAAATGAGAAATGGCATTGCAAATCTAAAACTATTTGTCATCGTTTCGCCCATAATTTCCCATTAGAAAAAAAATAAATCTCAAAATAGGAGCACGCCCCCTCTTACATGCTTTCCTGCCATCTGCTTGCAGGTCGATCCTGGAAAGCTTTGAAAATACATTTCATTTGTGCGTGCCAAAGCACACTTCTTTCATCTCTCCATGACCCTGAGTTCTAGTCTTGTTCTTTTTCTTTTTTTCCTTTAAATTGAGAAGGTCTTATCTAAGTCACCCTTTTTTCCCCATAAAATCTTCTGAAAAATAACAAGCTTGTTTCTAAAGCAAGAAAACTCATTAAAAATTACAGAAAATTGTACTCAAAACTACAGATGATTCAAAGATCACTAAATAAAGTTTGCATTCCAGAATCAGGTTCATGAAATACTATTTTTAGAAAATATATTTGGTTAAGAAGAAGTAAGTGGAATGCATTTCTGGAGTTAATGAGTAGACTGATTTCTGGGTGTAGGGTATTAGGATATAGAGTAAAGAAGATGAATTTATAGCAGAAAGGAATTTTAAAACCATTCTCATAATAGAAAATCTCATTAAAATTATTTTTCTAATCCTTTTTATATCTGCAAGCACTTATCCTGAAATTACATGTTTTAATTACTAGGAAACCAAAGTGTGATTAGTCCAAAACCCCAGCACCGTAGACCATCTGGGGGATGAAACTATGAATAGATGGTACCTCCTTCAAAATACTCAAAGATGCACATATAATACACTCAAATATACAAAAGTTACTCCAAAACAATATAATAAACTATATAACAGTAGTTTACCCAAAAAGCACATAGTAAGGCGTGAGGAAATAATTCCATTGATTTGGCAAGTGAGCAAGAGAATGCCCCAAAAGAGGCTTGACTAATTAAACTGTACCTTGATTAAAAAGAAATATAGTCAGTCCTCAGGTTATGTCGGACTCGACGTACGTCGTTTCGTGGTTATGTCACCATCTCCCATTTATTTATAAAAAAAAATTTCCGTCATTTCGACGTATGTACATCTGTGCTTTATGTTTTTTATTATTTATTTACCACAAGTGAAGGTCAGGAATTGTTATCTTTCTTTTAAATTGTTTTTACTGTTTCACTTCATTACTGCTGTGTCTGTGCTCCATGTGAGTGAAGTAGGTGCTTACGTAGGTGGGTTCCGATTTAAGGCGAGAATGGTAACCCGAGATCCTACTGTACTGGGTACTGTTGGTGTGTGTACTGGGAGGGTGGGGAATAGAAGAGAACCTGAAAACAAAATTGGAACTGTTTCAGAAGAACCATTTATAGCATTAATCTGACACTGCAGGCAATTGAGAGGGATGGAAAAAGTTTAAGTTTGAGATGGGCATAAACAGATCCCTCTGTTTAGAAGCTAACTGCTTTTAAAACATGTTCTTAAATTGATTCCAGAGAGAGGAAGAGGGGGCGGGGGAGAGAAAGAGACAGACAGACAGACAGACATGGATGTGAGAGAGAAACATAAGATTGGTTGCCTCCTGCATGAACCATGACTGGTGTTCAAACCTGCAACTTGGGTATGTGCCCCTACCAGGAATTGAACCCAACACCCTTTGGTACAAGGGACTACACTCCAACTAACTGAGCCACACCAGCCAGGGCTGGAAGTTCACTGTTTTTGACAAGGTGGTGAGAGCTAGAAAAGGCAAGGGAGGGATTGGAAGATAGAGGCCTATTTAGGAATTATTTTTTAAAATAATCTAAGAGTAACAGTGAGGACATAGATTAAGGCAACATTAGTGAGAATGGAGAGCAGTATATTCATGCACAAAAAATCTTCTGAGGTAGAAGTTATTAGAGTCAATGATCTATTAAATGTTAAGGTTGAAGAAGAGAGAATTGATTTACCCCAAGGCTTTGAGATTTGTAACTTAACAGTGGCATCATTAACCAAAAGCTATATGTAGAAGGAAGAGCAGATTAGGAAATTCATTCAGGTTTTGCTTGTTAAATTTAAGTGAGTAAGGGGCATTCTAAGACAAAGGTCTAGGAAAATGGGTATGTGGCTATGAAACTCAGGAGAGAAGTATGAAGGAGAAATAGATGGGACCATCCAGTGAAATTATAGTGAATAAAACAAAATATAACTCAGAAGAAGATCCAGAAAACTTTTCTACATGCAAGGGATTCTAATGTAGGAGATACAGTGACTTTGGTTGTGGCAGTTCCAACATATCGGGAGTTTACTATCTCCATAAAAAGTCTGAGAATGGGTAACCCAGGACTGTGATGGAAGCCTCACAAAATCATCAGGGAATCGGGCGTTTTTGTCTTTTTGCTTTATTGTCCTTGGTTTCTGGCTTTCATTTCTATCAAAGTCGAAATATGGCTTCTCTAGCTCTGCTATGGTTTTGATATTCCAGACATATTAACAGAAACAAGCATTTCTTACATCTTTTTAAGTTTCTTCCAAGTGATTTTTTTCCTGCATCTTATCATCTAGAACTTAATTATATAGCTATACTTAACTGCAAGGGATGCTGCAAAATGTAAAATTTGTTTGTGTTTTAATCTGGGCACATTGCTTTCTCCGATTAAATCGGTTTTGTTTCTGTGAAGAGAGAATGGATAGCAATTTCTATCGTATCCATCTATGATTACCCAAATCACAGCAGTACTCACATATGTTGTAATTATCTGCTTTTATGCATATTTTCCACTAGACTATATGGTTTCTGGATATTTTTGAGTGGTTAAGGCTGATCAACATAAAATTTCTGCATTATTTATAGACATTGGCTGCTGTACCTTCAAAGTGCATATTGGAACTTTATATACTTTTCCAAAACAGTATTAGTAATATGATGTAGGCAAAAATTAGACCATATTGGGCTGAATGCTTATGATGCAGTAACCGAGCAAAGATGGTAAAATAGACTAAATTTTCCAACAGTTTGTAGCTGGAAGGAAGAAGAAATAAAGAGTAAGAGAATGAGGAGAGAGGGAGAAAGATATTTAAGGGGTAGACGGAATTACTCCAAGTTTCTTTTCCTTATTTTTCCTTTGTTTTGTTAACATTTTTATTTATGTACTTTTTAACATGGCAGTAATTGAAAAAGTATTCGGTAAAGACCAGAAGAAGCTAGAAAAGAATGAATCTATGAAAAATTAGAAATATAACTCACA